AGCAACAATTCCTCACATTTGATGTTTCAGTGATAGCCACAACAACAGGATTTAGTAGTTCATACATATACACATTTATCAAGAATAATAAACATGAACACAATGTTTTTATAAAATGCCATACATTCGCGTTTACCTTACGTTCTATTTATTTTGTTAGGTGCTAATACGTTGCATAGTATCGATAGTTGTTTATACACCTTATTTCACGAAGTTAATTGTGAGCAATCAAATTGTAGTTTAAAGTATTTTGTACATTGTTTGCGATGGACAAGATATTAACAAGTTGCTTACACAACACGGAATACCGCGCACAGAAAGATTTATTATTGTTATGAATCTTTTTCTACTACCTGTGCACTACTTCTTCATACTTATTCATGTATGTAACCAAAAAAGTATGCGCTTTGTTTGTGTTTTTATTGATACTCTTTGAATGTCATTTGTCATTAGGTTCCACTCCATTGAGATGTCAATACCACTCAGTTACTAAATAGATGTTAACAAGAAAAAGTGTAAGAAATGCAACTAGGTGGCATAAGCAAAGCTCTGAACTTCATGCGCTGAATCTTTGTACATATCCTATGATTTACAGTAGACCCAAGCTACTGAAGTAGGACTCACACAACTGTTGGGATATATGAATACTTTTAAAGCTAATTCATGTGATTTAACACGACGAATGAGTAAAATCTTAAGTTCCAACCAGTCTCGCAGACTCATCTGCCTAGAATCCTTGTCTTGCAACTGATCGTATTTGTTAGATTGTTATTACTGCTATAAGTTACTTTTGTGTTTTAAGCAGTTTTTCATTATCAAACCACGGCAGATTTATATTATTGATACTAGGGAATCTAATAGTTGTCAATGGTTTCGTTGAGATGATTTCATGTAACGAGATTAACTCCAAATTATGGCAAGAAAGAGATGAGAGAAATATGGGTCTTGTAGCTCAGCTGGTAGAGCACAGGGCCGGAAACCCGGTGGTCGCTGGTTTGAATTTCACTGCGGTCCAAATTTTAATTTCACCTCCAATCATCGCCCAGCATCAATATACTATCACTTGAATATCCAGGAAAATACGAGTGCAGGGTTCTATCCAATACGCTAAATATCTGCAGGTGAGGAAACTTTCACTTCTAAACAATGAAGTTCATAGGTTTTGTAAGAGATAAGTGAATTTCTAAAATGAGATACGTAAAGAAACTATGGAAGTTAAAATAGTGTTAATATACGAAAGCATGAGTTGAATCTGACAAAGAGAATAGAATGTTGTAGCACTAGATCACTAACTTATAACATTTGCCAAACAAAATAATTCTCAGTTTTGCAAGTTGATACACAAAGATTAAGAATCTAAACGTGGAAAGCTTTCTCCTTCAATAAAGGTTTGATAAAAGGATATCTGTTCAGTGTCTGCAATTCAGTAACCATGTGTACGTGCTGGCACTAGGCGACCAGACAAACACATTTTGTGAGGGTTAGTAGTACTACTTGAGACTGCCTAAACTTTGATAGGCGGAGTGGGTTTCGAACCTGTGACGCACTGGCCGGAAATCAAAAGCCTAGACCAATGAACCACAATCAAGGTTTAGGGGCGACTGATAAGCTTGGTAAGTGAGTCTCTTTCATACCATTATTCATCTGAAGGATACATGTATGATGTCGAATAAAGCCATACGAGCCTCCTGTGAGTTTGGTGTTGGCTATTTAGCGCTAAAGTATATTACATCAGAATGCTAAACTTCCTACCATTCATCGGCCACTTCATAAGTGGTGAAAATCCGGTTTAAAGCAAAAAAAGAAAGAATATTTATCATATGCTATTCAATATGTCATCCATCTTACTTGAACAATAGACGTAACACTAGAAATGCATCAATTCGATCAATACTTATGTACCTGCCAACTTTATGCAACTGAAATGATGTCCGTAAATGTCTAACCTATGGTGAATTTGAATACGGAGCACCATTTCCCACACACACTTACACATAAATACAGGATACAGTGGTGTTTTTTCTAGTACTGAAAACGGTTCTGTACACATGATAGAGACAGATGCAAATGAAATGACATCAAAGACTCTCTGCCAAGATGAACACAAGCGCACAAACATACGCTTTTTATAATATTTTACGAAAAAAGCTTACTTCCTGTTTATGAATACAGTAGAGAACATTGTCTATCTATAGCCTTAGTCATAACAAATGTGGCCGCAACAATAGTCTAGTGTAAACAACAACATCGCTAATCAATCAACAAATTGTTTTTACTGTATAGCTACCAACACCTAATACACTGTATCTATCGGATAATTCGTCCAAGGTAAATAGTTATAAGGTTAGATTATATGTGATACAGAATTCAAAGTTCACAGGGTGATAGCCTCAAGTTATGGTCTACTCAAGCAGTATGAATACGATAGGGAGAAAAACATTTGGACTTCAACTGCCTTCTTAATGCAGTATTCAAGATACACAGTAAGGAGTTAGCACTAGCTTTTTCTACTGACTGATAATGAAAAAGTGAGTAGTTTATCTCAATTTACTCTGCTTAGTACATAAAAACGGATTCAAAAATCTATTATATACAATGATAAGTTATTAAAACTGGTAATATTTTGAGAAATATCAGAATATATAACAAACTATGAATGTAAAAATAAATTTGGTCCTGATTTTTATCAATTATTTCCCTTTCGAATGCTGAAAAATATCCTGATTTTAGCTTAATATCAGCCAAACAGTCTACTTTTTTGATGGAAACACAACTATATTTAATATACTTTGTGTAAAATGATTTGTTAGTGCCAGAAGTCAAAACGTTCTTGATACTCGATGCCTTCTTTTTGGTATGAATAAACTCTGTATTCTTATGCAATAAAATATAATTGGATCTTATTAACAAGTTAGGATTCATCAGAAGGAGAATTTAACTGAGTCATGTACGACCTTACACTTTTTTAATGTTTTTGTGATAACACTAGGGATAAACATTCTTCAAAATTACACTATCCAACATCCGACTATCGATATAGGTGAGATCTATTTATAATTAAGCAATGGTTATAGTTAATCACTTAAGTAATTTTTGATCTCACTTGAGAATAACTGAAACAAAATGCGTTTTGATAATATTGTCAACCTATGAGAACTGTTAAGATATAGTAGTCTTCACTCACTATATGGTCAAGTTATTACCTGTACTATACTAAAGACATTTTTTACAATATGGATAAAGACTAGAAGTAATTATAAGCTCATCTTCTATTAATTATCTAAGAGACAGTAGATACGATAATAAGTGTCCAATTACTAGGCGAAAATTCAGGAAGTTATGATCTAAACAAATTCCATAAAATAGAAAACAATTTATTTCCAACTATTTCTTTTGAACTTCAAAGGGGGAAAATTAGTTAAACAAGGGAATAAGAGAAGATAATTTTTGAAAAGACGCATTTCACAAATCTGGTGGAAAAAGTCCACGATTAAGCATCACAGCTTAAAGAAGGACTAAACAGTTATCCTCTTTACCCTGGGATAAAAGTGTGTTTTTATTACCTGAAAAATAATTAACGTACACACAATACAGTATATTCTTTATATAACACTTCCATGGAACGGAGAATTGAAGATAATATTAATGGTCATCTATAACAAATTGATTGGACCTTGACATCAAAAATAAGCAATCATTCACTGAGAAGGAAAATTCTTACAGTAACAAACGGTCTAGTAGTGGTAAAGCTTTTTAAAAAGGTTTTAAAAAGCAGTGCATAATGCAGACTTTGGTTATCAAATTAAACCTGTATAGCTAGTAATACAACTTAGTAACTAGAAGGTAGACCTTGTAATAGGCTTTTAATTACATCTGTTGTATGAAAGCAAATGAACACCATTCATTTGTTGAATCCAGATTCGATGAAAAACAGTTTAGTCTTACTATTTAGTTATTGAGAACCAGCTGTTTAAACTATCAATTTATAACTTTCGCTATAAATTAAGATCATATTTGTAGATTTTAAAGCTTTATGAATGTCGACGTAAGATTTACAGATTCTTGGTTATTATAAAATTCCTTGAACAGGAAAGAAATTTACCAACTTATATACTTCAATTTGAAATTTTATAAGCTTTCAACGAAACGTTTCTTCACATCTCTGATTATAATGCATACAAGCGAGTAAATTAAGACATTCATATACTGACCAAGAAATTTGAGCAAATAGATCTCAGCAGAATTATTAGTGTTTGACAGTCTGTAACAAGTTAGGACATTTCAAAACTGTTAACCAATAAAGGTATATTATCTACGCTTTATAATACAGTTGCTTAAAACAAAAGCCCTTAAAAATGCTAACAAAAATTACTAGAGAATAAATAATACATAACTGACATCGTTAAGGTTCATTGTTACCACTTACGAGAAAGATTTTTTTGTTTTAAATATATGAGACCAGTAGTGATCTACAAAAAGTTTAATCTGTTACTGGGTGTCTTAACCATTGAGTTAAAACTCGACACAATATTCCTTCCATTTGCAACTTCTTGATTAAGAGTTAAGGTTTTTTATCACGAAGCAAGTAGTAACGCAGTTCTAGAGATGTGCAGCTTATTTCCCACTGCTTGAATCTCAAGTGCCTAAGCTAATGAGCTGCATCTACACTGCCTACGAATTTCCCATCCCTAAATCAGAATAATAGATGTGAGAGACATTTAGTGACGAAGATTCATAGTCGCTTTCTTAAGTAGCTTAATTTTGGTCCGTTTGATACAACTAAAAAAATTATGGAACCGTACTCTAGTGCAATAGATATTATTGACCAACAATATGAGTGGTCAGCGGCTAATTTGGTCAGTCCCTAACATATGCTAAGTAGGCCAACGTACTCAAAACCGCTAGAGATTATTGAATTGGATCTGAACTGAGCTATGTGGTGCATACCGTGATTACTGAAACAAACAACAGATAATAACAACGGCAAAATAAACGCTTACGACATGATTTTCGATGTCAAATGATTTGACGACTGATGAAAATTCATCATCATTATGAGCGTTACTCCTATTTTTAGTGGGGGTCGCAGATGTCGGAGTACTAATAGAGTTATCGTGATTTGATCCACTACTGGTTATTCCAGATACGGAACTGAGATATTCACTTGATTTTTGACCACCTACAAAGTGCGGCGAAGAAAAATGAAAACAAAATAAGGTGATTATCCAAATAATAGAACAAAATAAGGATGAAAGCTGTTGTTTCAGGCTTACATATGGGTGTACGAATATACAATAATGTGACACTTAGTGAAAATGCATTTTAATTGAACTATCTGATGATTCTTGTAAACGAGCACATATATCTATATTGACAATGTTTGACAGTAAATCGAAATAAGGACTGGATTCTACCAAACAAAAAAGAGATCTCATTCCTAAAGCTGTTTAAACTACGCTTCGGTCATCAAACGTCTTATGAACATTCTGTAGTGTTGAAGAGGAAAAATATTTGCTTCCCATCATACCGCTTATCTTAACTGGTTTATTAAATTCTCACTTGGTTACTTCCTATCTGCTTCTAATTGGTTAGGGTGGGCGTAAACAAATACGGTTTGATAGGTTGTATCACACGAAAACTAGATAAATTATTGAAGCACTGAAATGGCATCGATATCAAATCAGCAATAGGATCTCGCATTACAGGCAATAAAGTTTGTCGCGTCTGCTAATTCAGACTTTTCCACGTACTTGGCACACTTCTTACTATAGACATCACTAATGAGTATATATATGGCCACTCATTCCTATCCCTTCCTTCACAAAATGAGTAGACGGTATAGTTGGAATGCTGGTCATCTGACGAAAACACCTCACTACTCATGATCTAGCGTTAGGACGAGTTCGAACCCAATACTCTCGCTACAGGGTAAATTATTTTTACTAAGACGGCAGTTGCTTTTGAACCTGCAAATATCCAACAAAACTTTCTAGCATAGTGTAACGTAGATGAATAGTATAACTTGCCAGACCATTGTCATAAACGAGCTGGACTAACATACGAAGGCCAAAAAGTGTCAGTGAAATTTAATATCTAGTGTACAACAAACCAGGCAATCTTTTCCCATCTTATTCACCTTGGAATTATTTACTTGACTTGTATTCCTGAGTTGGTTCGACAGTAGTTTCTTACTTGAGTCGATATGCCATTGTATCTGATCATACGTTGGCAAGTTGGTATAAACATAAGTATTACACAAGAATACCTTTACAACTGAAGACTAATTTCTGAAGAAGTATTGTTTCGAAGACTAATTATAGATAAACTATTTGAAGCTTATGTTGATCTTGGTGACTAGCAAAGGAATCCGGGACGCGCATTTCGTCCTGCTTGGGACTCTTCAGCTGGATGTACTTGCTCCCCAGTGAGTGATGTTGTTCCCACTATGACTCCAACCCAACACCCATCGCTTCAAACGCCAGAGCGTTATCCACTAAGCCACTTGGGCACGATAGACATCTCTTGTGAAACGGGCATCAGTTGTTGTAATGATACTTGTAATTCGCCGTTGCCATACAGCGCCAAATTGCTCAACCCTGAAGCTTACTTTCATGACAGTGAGTTTCCCACGAACTTTGTATAGGGCGTCAAATTATCTTTGTTGCTTGCTATAAGGGGAAATAAATATAGACTTATCTGTACACACAGATAACCGACAGGGAGAATGGTTAAAATAGGATGTACATGACTTAATTCCAGTTGACGATAAGTAATAACCAGCACAAAAATTAGGTTCATGGTATGGTAATCCACTGATGCCTCAAGACGTTGAAACTAAGCTTCTCAGGAAATAAATCATCAAGTCGTAACTATGATCACGGATTTATGAATGCTTTTTTTGACAAAATCAAATGTTTTACTAATTTGACTGAATGACATCTTAGTAGCTTACATTTAAATGTGGCAAGAAAAAACCATTACTACTGCAACTGTTTTTGATGCATGTTCATGACACTAGATTTTGACAATATTATTAGTCTCAATATAATTATTTGTACTACCTTAAACACTTCCACTCTCTCCTTCTTCATCGCTTCTTTACATTTTAACCTTAGATAGATTTGCAATAAGAAAACCATAATATTACAATTCTTCAATATGGCCTGTATTTAGATTATTCGCTGCATTTGTTGTTGGCTCACGTTCACTTGTATTCGACAGAAATGCACAAATGTGTGTGTAAACAGAAGTGATGGACATCATATATAATAAAGTGTGCATATTGAACATGTATATCCATACGCATATACGCATGTAGTATGCACAAGGAAACTGCATGAAAGATATAGAAGCAGGTGCCAAAATCTGATTAGTATCTAAAAAAGTAGAAGCTTACACACTGCGCCATGTACAAATAGCACCATGCAGTGTTCAAACTGATTTGTCACGATGATACAGATTATTTTGGTTTTCTCTTATACGGTACCGAATAGCATACAATCGTAAATGTATGAAGAAATAAGCAATTAAAAGAACATCCAACTAGGGTGGTCATTTTTTTTCGTAACCACAATCATATTTAGTCACCATCTAGTAATTTCTTCTATATATGCACTATGGCTGCTAGCTATCCCATATCACTACTTTTTAAAGTAACTACAAAACATCTCACTAGTCTTAAAGTAGTAATTTCGATGAGAAAAGGTAAAACAACAGGTTGTCTTACAAAAACAACTCCCTACATTTACTCAAGAATGAAATAAATACTGTGTTCACTAACTACTAAATTCAGCGACTAAGATTTCATAATTCTTACGACAAATAACCCGGCCGACAGATGCCACCTTGGCGTGCTGGTCGGGCCTTCATATCACAGTGACCCAATAAACTACACTAGCTGGAACGCTTAGTCCTTCGAAATTCTACCATAAAGTCTGTTGGATGGTGGTAAGACGAAAAGCAGTTACCGTTGTAGTGTAAATTGCTACACTACGATGCAGGTCCGAGAGCGAATTCGTACTGCTGGAAGGATAGGATATGTTTCCCTTGGATGACAGACAATGCCACGATGATGTTACTTTCCCTACAGGAATGAGGGTTAGAAAAGATTGGTCCCCACCATGACCTACGGTCTTCCGGTGCCGGTGGTATGGGTTCTCTCCATCCTACGTTAAAATAACCAAACCTCAAAACAACAACCCAAAAAGGCTGTGTGTGACAGACCTAAAACAGATATTCCATCGACTCTACGGTTACAGAAATCTTTTTCTCTTTTAAGTACCTTAGGAAGAAATGGCCTTCCACTATGTGGGCAGTCGGAAAGTATCAACCGCCCACACGATACCATTAGCACACAAGACACAATCAAACATAACCTATCCTCCTCAACGCTGCCTTCCCCTTTGCCTTCACCTCCTGATACTAATATTGGGCCTCCTACGCCCTACTCAACTTCTCACTCTGAAACTCATGCCAGCAATCAAGGTCATCGAAACCTCATCCCTAGTCTCCTAACATACCGTCCCCATCGATGTCATGTTGAAGCTTTCAACATCTGAACTCTAAGCCAAATCGGATAGCCAGCATCGCTCACCAGAACTCTACAATCTCTGACCATGGATGTATGGTGTCTCTGAAGCACGTACACAGGATCAGAGTGTGGTCGTTAAATTGATCTCGTGTGGGGAGATGTTGACTACCTGTTTGGGGTCCTCGATATGAAAGGAATCAGTGGTTGAGGAGTCTTGGTGACATGACTGAAAATCGGTCACAACGGCGTAGATGTATTTGCTCTTTGATATCTTCTAAAACTTCAATATTTACACTAATCTTTATCTTCAAATTGTTTGTTGTCTCATACAGGTTTCTCTGCTTTGATATTAATCTGTTTCCATCCTCTTGTTCTTTGTATACTACTGTGCAGTGTCGCAACTCGAGCGAGGTTCTACGTTTATTCTGTCTATCTGTCTGAGACTAATAAGTGTGTCAGATGTTGGGATTCAGTTGGCATATCAGAATGTATTCTGTTCTAATTAAAAAATATAACATGGTTATCAATTACTAACATCCTGAGGTATCGTTAGCTAGATGTGATTTCAACAAGAGACAAAATAAGGAATTGTAAATCTGGTCTGCATAATTGTTTCGGTATTGGCAGTGAAGGAAAAAAGGTAAGACTAACACAACAATGTATTAGCTTAGATAAGCACATTGCTCAACGGAACATGAAAAAAGTCGAAATAAGGGTATCATAAAAATTCAACAGAGAGAAACATTTAGATACAGGGTAAATTGTTCAAGATTCAGAATACTGTTAATAGTGAATGCATCATAACGGTGTGTTCGATTTTAAGGCAGAAACTTAAAATATCCAACGAAGATTTATTAAAATTTCAGGAACCATAAACCAAAGGTTAACAGTCAATTACATGGCTCAACCTAACAACTTCACGGACTAGCGTAGTATTTCGTCTGGTGACCCTCAAACTCGCTCCGATCTTTATTTATTCAAGCCGAAATCACATGTCAACGCAGATATTCGCTCAAGATACGTAATAGGTTACTGTCTGGAGCACAATTGCCACAAATTCACAAAATTATCAGATGACTTACTTGTTTTTAATCTAACCACCAGACTCAGACATTACGTAAAATATTTAGGTTAAATAGTATGTAAAAGCGGTTGTGCCACCGAATTAATATCAGTAATTTTTTAATATCGAAACACAGATCGAGTGGTATAGAACAAATTAGAAAAATGTAAAACAAGCTAATTCTTATTCGTAGTTGTCAAGATGGAGTAAAATTGCTATCAGCAGTTACGGTTAATATTTATTCACAATTACATGTTAACCATTCAAATAGACATTGACTTAATGTTTATTAATCTCCATAATAAAATTACTAGTATCATTACAACAGCTGATACCCGTTGCAGAAGAGGTGGCTATAGTGCCCCAGTGGATAATGCTTTGGAGTTTGAAGCGATGGGTACTGGGTTCGAGTCATAGTAGGGACGAAATCACTCACTGGGGTACAGGTGTATCCAGCTGATGAGCCCCAGACAGGACGAAGTATGCTTTCTGGATTCCCCTGCTAGTCAACAAGATGAATACAACGTAATAATAGCTATGTAGGAAAACAATTTTTTTTTCGTAGTTCTCGTAAAAAGGCAATCAG